GCCTCCCCGACCCGCCTCGGCCGGAGGTGGGGGGCGAGCCCGGGGGGGTCTTCCGCACCGGAGGCAGCGGGAGGCACGGCGGGGAGAAGGCGACCTCGGCGTCGATGGAGGCGACTGCGGAGCGGGAGGCTCCTGCTGAGAGAGGGGAGAGTCGGCCCCGAGGGAGGCCCCTGCGCCCCGTCACCGCGTCCCCAAGCGGGGATGTTGGGCCGGCTGAGGAGGTCCAGCCTGTCCCGTGTGGTGATGCCCCATGTCGCACTTCAGTGGCCAGGGCTAAGAGGCTCCACCGCCCTTTCGGTGTCCTGAAGCAGCCTTGTGAATTGGCTGGTCCTGAAGCCAGCCAGTGGCCCGGGCAGCAGCCCCGGGTGGGCCTGGCCACGGCACAGGGCTGCTGGAGGTGGCAAGATGGTGGCGGGCGGCCTGTGCTGCCCATGGAGGCCAGTGGTTGGGTTGGCTGACCAAAGGTGACAACCGCCTTGAAATGGCGCCAGCCAAGGCAGTGAACTTCTCCTAGAGTCTTTGCTCCCTTAAGCTCGCTCCCACCCACGTTTTCCCCTCAGGGCAGAGGTGGCTGGGTGCCATTTTGCTGAGGAGCCTTGGGTTGGCCCTGGGTGAGAGCACCTGGGAGGTGAATCCTCTGTGCCAGGGCTTCTGAGCGAGCACAGTTGAAGCAGGGGGTGCTGAAGGTGACTTTTGAGCATCCAGCTGTGAGTTACCACTTGTCCACGAGGTAACAGCTGGCTGGAGTCAGCTGTGGGAAGGGCAGCGCACCATAAAGCAGAGGAGCTCTGGACCAGCTCCTGCCAGGGTGGCAGCCAGCCCCTGGTGAGATGTTTGAGGTCAGGCTTGCCTGAACTTTTGTGATTTGGCCTCCGTTCCTCTAATGCACTTTGGATTCAAGACAGGGGAATTCATTGATTAGCTAATGTGTGCTCGGTACTTTGAAGATGTGAAGTCTTATGAAAGCACTGAGCTTTATTAACTTCTGTTTGGATGATTTGGCTGGACAAAAAAGGTGTGGGCGGTTGGGATTTTTTTCCCCCCTCACATTTCAGTAGCCTTGAACAGGTTGCAGCTTGTGAGGAGACATGAACAGTTAGTATGTTTCTCACCGAATGTGCGAACAATTTATTTATACTCATCAATCGAGGACCTTCCTCAATTTAAGCAATTATTTGTGATTTGCTCCTTTAAAGTAATTCTTTTTGTCTTCTACATTTCCTTTAATGTTCTTATATATGTAAGTATTGATATACCCATACCTTAGAGATGGACATGGGTGTCTGATTTACTTATTCATTAAAAATTTGCACCAAGATTTTCTCAGCAGCCTTTTTAAGTTTTTGTTTTTTTTCACATCCATATGTGTGAGAATAAAGCTATCAACTTCTAGGAAAAGTTCTACCCTGGTGTGTGATACCTTCTGTAGTACCCTGGATGAGAACATTAATGGGGGGTAACACTCAAGACAAATCTTTTAAAGTAACTTTCATTGTCAAAAAAAAAAAAACCCAGCCTAACAAAAACCAAAACCCCACCAAACAGGAAATGGAAAGCAGTAAGCCGAGAAACATTGCTGTTTATGAGCACTAACTGTTTAGGTAAAAAGACTTGTTAAAACCCCAGATCTATCGCTTTGTCTTGTACAGTTCAGAGAGACATGGAAAACATTGTGCAAAGCTTTGGAAGGACTGCACAGATCTTTGTTCTGTTTTGGCTGATGCTTACTTTGGGCTATTTTATCAACATTTCCTTTTTTTTTTTTTTTTTTTTTCTGATCCCTTCTGTCTCTGCAGTGGCATATATCAAGAAGCCTTAAGGCAGATGGAAACCTGAAATTACTTGTAGTTACTGTGAATTTATTATTGCATCGTTTCACTGAAAATTAGGATGTGCTGATTCTAGAACTTGCTACCCAATGTAGACCAATTGGGTAGCAAGTGTTTTAAGGCATTGTAAGAATTCACGATCTGGAAAAGTAGAAAGAGATGTTTAAAAAAGTGTATAAAAGGCAAAAAGATGCTTTTGCGTATACAGCGGTAAGAGTCTAAGTGGGTCCTGTGGTCTTTAATTTGGCCTAACAGCGAGCCTGAGAAAGCACTGTGCTGAGAGCTTGGACATACACACCTGGGTGTAATAGATGGGTAAGTTACTGCTGATCAGGGGTACTGGACATTCTCCCCTTTGTCGTTATTGATTCATTAAGGAATGCTGTGTAAGGCAGATTCCTCTGGCCACGCACACCTCTGTTACCCTTACAGCCTGCAACTACCAAGAAGATCAAAAGAAATTGCACGGTATTACTTTATATACGTGCAGTTGTCTTCTGCAGAGGCACCCAAACTTTAGTACATTTCTGAGTTTTCTTTGCTAGTCGGAAGTAATGTATATACTCTCATGACTCCATGTTAAATTGTAAGAGGGGGTTTATAAAGAGTTTCTTTAATCAGGGGGGAGGTGTGTGTTCTGAGTGCACTTGGCAAAAGCATGACAGAATTGGAATGATTTATCCCTGTTCTGTCTCAACCAGCAGAAATGACACATGAAACTTTCTGTGTAGGACTAAAAAGGACATAATTTGAACACTCATAGCCCTGGGATTTTTTTTTTTTTTCTTAAACAAGGCAGTAGTAACATTTTCAAGTGGATTAAGTATTTGGAGGTAGCTGTTAAATTAACATAACAGTTACAAAAGCTGCCAGATTTAGAGCAGCAGGTTTATTCCTGCATACCTTCTGTAAACTTGCTAGGTAGTTCCACTGATCCCCACTGTGTAGCTGATCAGCGTGTGTCATCTCGAATATTTCTCTTGCCACTCTCTCTGAAGGTAGAGTCTGGTCTTGCTTTTACCCTCATTCAGGTGAGACAGGGTGAGGGATTTGCCCAGTGTCACATATGGGATTGGAGGCAGATTTCCCCGATATGCTGATTGTAACAGTCTGAGGCAGCGATGGCTTTCCCACAAGTTCTTGCAGAGTGTGTTGTCATCGTCCATGAGGATGAAAGAATAGCTCAGCCCCTCCAAGCCATTGGATGTCACCTCTGCAAAGAGTGCCATCCTCAGCACTACGTTCACAGATGTTCTTGTGACATGAAAACTCTCAAATACCAGCTGTAATACCTACTGCTGGTGTAATGTTCCACACCACCAAGACATTGTACAAACACAGACATTCAAAAACTCGAGTTATTTCACGTACAGTCACCGCAGAGGTCACTAGCCAATCTTACCTGTGCGCTCAGAAGCATTTTAAGGAGTACCAAGTAATCAGAGAACTAATTCTACTTAATTAAAAATAATTTAGAGGCCATGTTATTCATAAAAAATAATCTGATAAATAGAATCTCACTCTGGCTGCTATGAACAGAGGAAATATGGGATTTAACTGGGTGACTGTGGCTGAATGCTCCACCTTTAGACGTCCCTAGGTGTATCAGAAACCACCTTTCAATAATTAGTGAAAAGAAAAAGAGCTTTCTTCCTTCTGTGCTTTTTGTGTACTTTGGGTTTCTTTAAAAGCCGTTGGTCAGACCAGCGTTTGTGCACTAGACTTCTCCCTCAGCTTCCTTTCTAGCTGCTCAGAGAGCACTGGAAGATTTTCATTAAAACCAGAAGGACTAGAA